CCCCAAAACCCCAAAACCCCAAAACCCCAAAACCCCACATCTAGTTCCTAGGTTGATTATTTGATTTCTTTGTAATATGGAGGCTCGCTGTATTCGGAGAGGAGATCGTAAAGATTGATTTTTGGAGATTCCAAGACCCTGTGGTTTATTATTTGACTGCTGATAGTCTCAGCGACGACTTCAGCAGGGATGATTTGTGTAGAAGAGGTGTTGAGTGACTTGGGAGCATTGGGAATGTTGGATAAATGTTCTGATGAGTAGATTCCTGGATCGATTTGTACTACAGAGGTTTTGTGTTTTTTTAGATCTGATTCTAAACACCTATAAGAGTTTGTTTATAGTATACCTTTCCATATGCATGAATGTACCCTATAGATTAAGCGATTAAAGTACCTGAAGGATAGAATAAATCCCTTTTTGCCTAAGAATAGAATGGAAAATAGTTGCTTGTCTCTCAGAAGCTGAAGGATCGGCTCAGATTAATTCCTCCTGTAAAATCTCAGAGTTTGTGATCATTGGTTGTTGAATAATCTGGGCCATAATATCTTTAAAATGATCAAGAGAATTCTCCTCTCCTTCAATCTTCAAAATTCTGGGATAATTATGAAATAAAGTCTCGATTGAGTATTTTCATTCATGCATGTAATTAATAAGCTCAGCTATAAATCAGCTACAAAAGGGCTTACCAAGACCTTCCTTCTCCCCCAAATCTGCTTCAAAAAACTCAACTTGCTCACTATAACCACTCCTCTGCTCCTTCACATCAGCTGCTACCGCTATAACCCTCTTCCCCGGTGCTTTCTTCGCTATCTTATCCACAAGCAACCTCCCCATCTCTCAAGCCTTAAAATTCAGCACTAAAAATCACCAACTCCACTCACCCACATGACATTGCTCATATCCATCCGTCCTACTCTTCACCCTCTTCCCAAATCCGAACCAGCCAAAGGACCTCCTACTCCTATGAACCAACATCTTGCTTCTTCCTTTCATCGAGGCAGCTAACATTTCTGGCTATTAATTTTCAATTAATTTACAAAAAATTGGGGTTTTGGGGTTTTGGGGTTTTGGGGTTTTGGGG